TGTTGTATATTTCTTTGTTTTCATATTTTTAAGCTTGTTTTATTATCCCATTGAGTTGGGAATATGTGCTTGTAAACACATCACCCCCCTCCTCCATGCTTTGTTCATGCAGAAACATCTTATTCAGGAATGATGCAAGATCAAATTTTCTTTCTATAATGCATATTAGAGATATATTTGTAGATGAAACTCCACACGTCATTGTTTATTTACATTACATTATAGTCATCTGGCACGCGTTTGTCCAAAGCAACTTAAAGTAAGTGCATTCAAACTCAGGAATAAGATCTTGATGTCATTAAATGTTCAATTCTTCGAAACTAAACTAGACAACTAAAAGCATGTTCAGTGCTACAGTACAAGAGTTTTCTTATAGGTTTGACCTCTTTTTTTATGGCCGGTAATTTTTTACTTTATTCACACAGGGGATGTTTGCTCAATTGTTGACCTTTTAGCAGTTACAACAGATGAATCACATTCCTTACTCAAGGGCACCTTATAAGTACATGCTAATGGAGAGGCGAGCATTTCTTGTTTAATTTCCCACCCAAGACTTTTCCATCTGGTGACCTTTTGACTTCCAGTTTACCGGCACGGATTTATTGTCCAACTGGATGATCATTCAGTTTGTAGGCTGATTGATTGGATAATTGAATGATGGTTTTGGCTTATTTTTAAGTCTTGCTTCTTTGAAGTAACTTTTCTCAGTAGACTTTTATCCTTATAAATCCTTATCCTTATAAGGTTATTTCATGGAATCAGTGGACTCTGTGTAGACTTGTTTATCTTATTAAGTAACTACTTAATTGAATATCTTGAATAATTGTTCTTTCCTTTTATTTAAAATTGTGTTTTTTTGTTTTGTTTTTTTGTTACTTTTTTCTGTTTCTTCCTATTTCTTTTTTTTTACTGTATTTGTTCACAAGTTGTATTTTTATTTTGTCATTGTGCTATTTGTGTTATAAGTTCTTAACAGTTTGATGAAGAACATGTAAAGGTTTCACTCTATTTAGAAAATTGCCACTAGAACAGTTACTTCATGTAGGAGCTGTGATATTGTTGGTTTTGTTATTTATTTATATAAGTTCTATTTATGGAAATAACAATTCTATGTATTTTTTTAATGTAAAACCATGACATAGTATCATTATTTATTTGGTAACCTTTTCATCATATAATTGATTTTGTTTTTATGCATGTGTTCTGTGGTTTTGTTTTAATTTTACTGCTGTTTGTAATTTCTTTTGTGTTTTAATTTCTTTGTTTGTTTTTCATGTCGGTCCCACCTTCTTCCATCACCCCTCCCTGGCCTACAGCCTGCACTGCGTCGTCGTCGATGTCGTAGCATGTCTATTTGTGTCCCCCCCTTCTCCTACTCTTTTTCCCATGCTCCTCCACCCCTGGCTGTTCCTCCAAGGCAGCCCTCCACCCCTCCTCCAGACCTGTCTTTCTCATCCTCCTACGCCACCACCTCCCCCTGCATGCCTCTCGCAGCTGAGAGAGACACATTCGCTGGGCGCCTCTCCAAGGCCCTGGAGACAGTCCTACCCCTACACTCTGCCTCCTCTGTGCCCAGGGCCAGGCAGCGGAGGGCCAGCCTACCTGCCCTGTTCTCCACCCCTGTAGGTGCACAATCTTAATTCCCAGCGGCCACAGTGGTGGTGAGCACTAGAGAGGAAGGGAAAGAGAGAAAGATGAGGGATATGGGCCACACACGTGTCTACAAGTAGATTTAACTACTAAAACATGTTTTTGTAATTACAGAAGAATGCCCAAAAGTCAGTGTACTTAACAAATAACAGTAATTTGTTTTAACTGCTGGATGACAGGATTGCTAATGAAACAGCTTGTACTACTCATGCTGATGGTGCACAGTTTTTTTGTCACAGCTTTGTACAACTTAGTTTCTATGTAGAGCCAAGTAAATAACCACATGGAGCCAGAACAATGCAATGTACTGGCTAATTAATTCAAAGTGCAAGACTGTAAGAAGAAAATATTGAAGTAGTTTAGTACCACTGAAGCCTTCGCAGTCTCCTTGACTGATTATTGATATGTGTACAGTGTCCGTCCTCTTCATAGTTAACACATTGATAAAGTGTTCTGTATTGAGAGCTGAGCTAACTATGTAGCAAGGAGGTTTAAATTGTGCTGTCTAAGCCAATGCGGAATGTTGCCTTGAAATCTAATCTTACAATATTAAGTCTGTATAATAAAAGTAAAATAAATTAAGAAAATGTATATTCGGTATTCAAGGCATTTTAGATGACACTTTTATCTTTAGTAAGTCAATTAGTGTGACCTCAGACTGTTCAAACTTAATTTGCTTTCAGACACTGCTGTGAGTCATTCTAGCCACCCAACTCTCTTTAGCTCTCTCTTCCTCCCTCTGTCAGACCACCATGTGTTCATATCACATACAGATTGACTGGCTTCAGCGTTAACTTTGCGCTATGATACAAATGTCTAATATCACATGCATCTGCCATCAGGAAAACCGCTTATTTGACAGCAAAAGTTATTGTAGTGGTTTTATGATATTTTGGGCATTATATGTCCTTATTAGACAGCTGACAGTAGAGAGATGGTGAGTGACATGCAACTAAAGTTTTGTCTCGTGTTCAACGCCCTAACCCTCAGGCCACCAGGGTGTTTTTTTACTTTAGAAGTGAAGACAACATGGAAAACACTAAGCCTACATCACATCATAAAGTCTTCTTGCCCCCTAAAAATTGGTATTAGCCAGTGAAAAATCCTGGTTCCTGGTATCCATTCTTGGAAAAAAATGATATAACATTTATGATGCTAACATAGGCCGCAACCAAACTACTCAATAGAATTTGTCGTAAGATTTACAGATTATCTATTTACTTGATCAAAGTGATTTTGCCACTACTTAGTTAGAAGGTCAACATTTTGCAGAGAGAAGCTCTGTAATAAAAGACAGTTTAGTTTTCCTGAGTGCAGATACCTCAGGATATTATCAAGCTTGGATCCAGCCTTTCTTCTCTTTGTATTTACTACCCCACTGCGTGTCTACTTGTGAGCTCGCACTGTGTCTCCCACTTTTACTGTGTTGACTTTTCTTTGTCTGCTTGTCTTTGTGCTGTAACAGTCTGTTATTTGGTCTCTCTGTCTGTTTTACTGCCGCTTTGCGTTATTACCTGTTCTACCTCATCTCATCACTCCTTTTATACAGCTGTTATGTGTTATTCTGTCTTGTCTTAACCACATAATTTTGTTTCTAGTGTGTCAATAGAATATATGTCCTTTTTTTTCTCTTGGTATTGTCCTAAAATTATGCTCTTTAGCACACTGTTTTACACTGCATTTCATGTCGGCCTTTGCTGGTGTTCTCTTTTGCATTCTCTGAGTCTCATTCTTAAATCCATTGTATCTCATTGTCGCAGCAGCATTCAATGTCGCACCACTACAGTGGAGGAGCAGGAGGAGGAGGAGGAGGAGGAGGAGGGAGCATCCCCCTCTCAGCTCTCCCAGACCCCACTACTATTTTCTTTCCCTCCATCCCTGAGCGGCCCATTTCATTCTCACCTCCTCCCACTGGGCCTCCTAAGGCCTACAACACCCAGAGACGCAAAAGCACGTCCATTCTCGAGGCACATACCCGACACTTCCAGCCTGCCTACACTCGCTATGGGAGCAGCCTGCATCCCTTTTCTGGGATGGAGGGAGTTGAGACCCCCTCTCTCTTCATGGTGAATCCCGGTTTTGCAGCAGCTGCTCAAAGACTTGGTGTTGGGGAGCCGCTGCATCACCCAGGACAATCTGACCCAAGTATGTACAGCTACAAAGACATGAGAGCAGAGCATGAGGAAGCAGTGAGGAGATTAAGTCTAAATCAAGCTGCCTTATTGGACCATTATGAAGCCATGGCATATGGAGGATACCCAATGACTGCACAACAGCTTGGCCACTTGAGTTTCCATCAGCACAGGCAAGCAGCAGCTGCAGCTGCTAGTTTGGGTTTTGATCCTGTTCCTCCACCTCAACCTGGGTTCTTGCACCCACACATCATGCAAAGAATGAGTGCACACAGCCCGATCCCTCCACCCTTACCTCCCATGAGTGCACCCACTGGTGGTTCTGTTCCTTCTTCATCATCTGATGGATGCTATCCTCCTCCACAGCATGCTTCCCCTTCTGCTTTTCCTATTTCTGCACCTCCAGTAATGGCTGATGCTCCGCCACCAACTGGAAGTGTGTTTGAGTTCCATTTAGCCGCAGCCGCCGCCGCTGCAGCTGCTGCTGGGGACCCAGGCCTCTTGGCATCCAGACTTTTCCGGGCTCGAAGGAGCTCCATGGACCTCCCTCTGGAGGATAACACTGGAACTGGATCAGGTGGTTCAGGCACGTACAGCCGTCTCCAACCGGTGACAGAAGAGCTGTACTCGTATGTCAGTCCCGAGCTGCCCTTGCCTCCAGGAAGTCTTCTTCTTCACCACACAGGTTTAACCATAAAAGACAGAAGCCCTGAACCTTCCAGTGACTCTTTGGTCTCCTCCGACGCCGGGGAGTTTCAGTCACCTCCTCCCCCACCTCTTCTCCCCCCATTTGACTCCTCAGCTGCTCAGTCCATCCCTCACTCATCCTCCGCTGCGCTCTACGAATCATCCTGCGGAGTGTTTCCCATTGATCCCCAGGGACATCCACCCTCCATGCAGAGCTTTCTCCCTCCCACTCCATCCTCTGAGCACCCTCTTGGGGGAGCATCATCAACTCAGCTGGAGTCTCTGATCCAGAGTGCCTGGGCCAGGCATGGCGGGGTGGTACCAGCCCAACCCGATATGACATATCATGAGTCATTGCTGGCCATGCAGGCCGCTAACCCCACTCTGGTACTGAGTTTAGACCTTAAAAACACCCCTAGACCTCTGGGTCAATTACTAGTTGAAATTATATGAGTTGCTTTTTTAAGCAAAGATCCACAACCAGCTGCTGATATATCATAATTGCTACATTATGGTAGTCTATGCTCTTCATTTCTTGTTTGACTGCAATTTGTCAATATCTCACAGACTAAGGATTTCATATATATGGCCATATGCCTGTAACATTGGAAAGGCAATGAATAGATACATTAAAAATGGTGTAATCCATTAAGTAAGAATCATTCTATGAAAAGCAGCTGAATTAACACATAATAGTAATTTGACCCAGAAGTTGTTATACCAATCCCTGTTTTTTTTTTTTTTACTCTACCGACCCAGAAGCCCCAGCTGATGCTTACTTGTCATCATGTAGTACTTGGTCGTGATTTTAATCCCCTCCAGTCACATCAACACTACAGAGTGAGTCTCATGGTCTGCCTTCAAAATGTCCCACATTATTCATTCTCTGACAGTGTTTGCTTATAGAGGAATTTGTAGAAAAAGGTTAGTCAAGAGCTTCAGTCAGCGGCACTTATAGGATTTATGGGGCCATGACCCACAGCACATCTTGGAACAGCCAAAAACAAAAACATTTGGTTTCAACATAAGAGTCAGTATTGTCAGTCACATAATAATTATTTTAAAAGCAACATTCAGAAGGTAGTCTTTGAGACAAACTCTGGTGTACAAGCTTTATAAGAAAAAAAAGTCTAAGTCCCCTTCCTTTCTGTGTTTATGTTGTGTATTTGATTTATTTCGTCAATATCAGTAAGTAATATTTTGTCTGTATGTTCATATATGAATGTATATGAGAAATGTGTGTTTGTAGGGGTATACTGTATGTGCGGTATACTTGAATTTTTGCTCGTACAAATCCAAAGTCCGGTCTTAAAACAACATTAACTACCTCAGATGCTGAGCATCGTATACGTACAAATACCTGCACATTGAATAGTATGTTATGAATCATTTAAAAAAACATTCAAGTATGATAAAGTGGCAGGAACTTTATCGATTTGTACGGACAAACACACAGAAACATACAACAAAACCAAGGGGCCTTAGACAAACAGAGCAATGTAACCATGCAGATAGACATTTCATTTGTATATTTTAGATTCTTTCTGCTGTTTTGTCTTGTAATTGGTAAAGATCTTGGCTTTAAGTCAGTTCTTTATAATCGCATATTGTCTTGTCATTTCCTGCCCAGACTGGAAATCAACTTCCTACACAAGGTTCAAAGGTCACAGTTCAAAATCATTAAACCCTTAGAATGCTGATATTATCAGTGTCACCTTTACTTTCTTCGTTGTTTACTTTGAACCACTTCCGATCATTGGTCTTTCTTCTCATTTCTTCAATCTTTGTTTTCTGTCATTATCTGTGTTTTTCTTTCATGTCCCTTTATCTTAAGTTCTCTATCTTTCTATACATTTAATTTTATTAGATAGATATCTGTGCTGTGAAATTCGTTATTGTGTTTACGTGACTGCCTATGATGTTTAGAAAAAAGGTAGGTAGCCGCGTGTCTGGTGCAATGTACTTGTGTAAGCTCCCACCGCACTTTGTGGGGGTGGGCTTCATGACAAGTAGAACGTTGCAAACAGCCTTCTAAGGGTTCAGTCAATAGAGAGATTATAACTGTCTGTATGCGGCTGTCCTGTAGTACTGTAGATTATTCGTGAAGGAAAGATCCAGCCCTGTTTGGCTTGATGCTCACTGGACTTTATTGAAAATCTAATTGCAAATAATTCCAAAGTTTAACTTGACTGGAAAAGAAAATACTTTTTAATTAGACTTTCTTTAAGGATTCTTTTAAAAGTCATGTTATGGGGTTTTTTTGCCGATTTTCAGCCCAACAAAGGACAGTTCATACAGTGTTAGGATGAAACCTCAAAAACCTAAACTGGACTATGATTGTATCAGGCTATGTTGCAAGCTCCAGCAACCTGCCATCAAACACATACAACTAAACATGACCCATATTTGCAGTTTCAAGCTTTGGGTTTTACTTTACCTGTTCCTGATTATGGTGTTAGAGTTGGAGCCTGTGTTAGGATATTTTAGGAAAAACAGCTGTGATTTGTTTAAAATCCTCAAATTTAGGTTCAATAATTAATTTTAGTGTTTGGTGTCAGTATACCAGCTTCTACTCTGTGCTTCATTGACTTATCACTACCAATCACTTAGGGTCTGACCTGCATGTTAAGAAAACCCCTGTACTTAACCCCTGCCTAACCCTGGTACTGTGCCTGTACTGTTACACTACAAGCTGTGTATATGTGTATATGCATACAGTAGGTATTTGTGTGCATATATCTGTTGCCATATAGATCCATGTGCTTATGTGTTGTCTCTGTGCATGTGTGCATACACAAGAAGCAAATCTAGACTTATAAACGGATCACTAGCAAACAGCAGAAGTACCTTGTGTTTGCACTCATGTACAGTTTCTGGTCCACAAGCTACAAACATGTTCTGATTATTTCTTGTTTTCTCTCTCTCCTCGTTGCCAATCTCTTGATTTCTCACCTCCATCCTCCATCCTTTTTATATCCCACGACATTGCATCTCTTCCTCTCCTGTCCATCTTTCTTTCTGTCTTTCTATAAATCTGTTTCTCAGCAGCAAGTTCAGGCTCCCACCTCCCAGCCCTCTCCAGGACCCCCTCTGGTCCCTGCCACCACCCAACCTGCTCCTCCTGGGACCCCCCAACAGGTAAGACAACTTGAAAAAACAACTGAAGTAACCCCAAAATTGAAGTCATTTTATACATCCAAACTTATTTTACTCTTCTCTTCTGTAATTGTATCACTTTTTCTCACACTTTTAATACCACATCCTCATAAAGATAAAATACAAAAAAATAAGCCTATTTTTGTGCTTATTCAGTAATGGCGCATATGTTCTCTTTGAAGTTGTTGCCTTCGCTCAAGGTAACCACTCCCACAGAGCTGGCACCTTGCCTGCAGTAATAGCACAGTCTTTCTGAAGAACTGTTTTCCCCCAGCACAAACTGCTGTTATGAACTAATTGCAACCCTAAACTGATTTGATTGAGCATGAAATTGGATGTTAATCGGAGATCAAATGATTCTTGTCAGAAAAAGACGGAATGTATGATGTTTTATTATTTGAAGTAGCACAACAGCCATTCCCTCCCATAATTACACCCCATGTTTATATAACAGTTGTCTTCAAAACCTTAATATTGTATTCACATTTTACTTAATATTTGTTTATATGCTAACAGTTATTTTGAAAGCGTGCAGTCACATTGTTTCTGTAACTTATTGTGGATTGTTATATAAGCTAACAACAAAACAGGAAATTAACAATAAAGGAGATAATATATAACTGAATAATGAATAATGATTATTTAATGAGATACATTTCCTGCTGGTATTTTCCATGTAATTTTGGTTTCTCATAACTGGGAATTGAGTTTATCCAGGTTATTATATACAAGACTGTGCAAGCTAGCAAAAGTACTTAAAAAGAATACTAGCGTTAATGTAAATGTTTACATTTATGATTTTGTCATTTCCTCTCTTCTTTCCTCTCACACTACTCTCTCTCTCTGTCTCACGCTCTTCCTTTACTCTCTCTGTGTCTCCAGGTTGTTTCAGGCAATCAGAGTATTACGTCAGTTCAGAGCCCCACACACACATCTCTGCCGCAGGCATCTGCACAGGTACGTAAAGTACTGTGGCACCACTAGTTGAAACATATGTATGCAACACAATACTTCATAAACACATTCCTAGTGCACAGAAGCTGACACTGCTATGCTAATATCTAAGCTGAAGCCAATCTAATAAACACACCTCGGGGTTCCAAAGAGCTCTCTGTTATCGTTGTTTCCCATACACGCTCAACTGTGGATGTATTCATACACTGAAGCACATACAGCGTGGGGAAATAGCTGAAAAACACATAAACTACTTACAAACCGTGTGCCACTCAGAGGTCATATGATTGGATTCTTTTTTTTTCCTTTTTCAATTCAGTTATCTACCCACCTGACTGACTCACAGACACTTATTATCAGCTAGTCATTATTAAATATATATATTAAATATGTCACATAGCCACTGCGTAACTCATGTTGACAAAAACAATTTAAGTTCATATTCAATGTCGTTCTTGGTCTGTGTGTTATTATTGCATGTTTTGCTCTTCTTTTTTCACTGTATACTCTTTATTTCTTCTGTTTCCCTTCCTTTTTTCTGTTTCTCTCAACGGCATGCTGCTTATGTTCATCACTGGGTTTGTTTTAATGCGTATGTGTTGTACATGCCTACTTGTACCGTCTGTACGCATGTGTGCTTGTATGTTTGGTCGTATGCGTTTTGTGCACAAAATGGATGGGTGTGTGTGTGTTTTGTGCGTTTCTAGTTTTTAGACCTCACTCCTTCTCCCAGTATAGAACATCTTTTTTTTCTATACCAAGCTGCTAAGCTAGCTCTGGTTCAGGTACATTTTATATATGGCAGTGTATGTGGCTAAGTGTGTTTGTATGTGTGCCTCCTAGTTAGTAATTATGTGTCTAAATGATTTAGTGCGCAAATCTGTTTGACATCCCTCTTGTTTTGTGCTTTTTGGATATAGCTTTGTCTTTTAGCCCCCTAGTTCTCCTTTGTTCATCCCAGATGCTCCAACTAACCATCTTATTAAAAGCACGGCTTATAAATACATGAGTTCCTTGTTAGGAAATTAAGATGGCTAATATATCCTGGAACAGAACTGATGAACAGTAAAAGGTGAATATGGGTAACAATGGGCAGTGAAGAATCTTAAAAGGTGTGTATCCAATATTGCATTGTGTTAAAGAAATATTCATATTATTTAGGTTGCCTCCTGAGGACTTATAGGCAGGTAGCACTCTGTAAAAAAGTCACTGAGCTGATGCTTACATTTAAAGTGCATCTGCAGTTATATACATATGATTATAGTATGGATAATAACATAAGTTTCACATCAGATGGTTTAAGGGTATTTTGCACAATACCTATGCATTTAAAGATTGACCACATCAAGTAACAGTAAGTTAATCAGATTGACTGGCTTTTTGGTTATGCACTATTTTTACCCCCAGATCTTTGTGTTGTTGTGTATAAAAAGACAAAAAATATTTTTTTATGATTCCCTGTGGTGTTATTTACTGAGTGGGAGCAGTTTCTTTGTGAACGAGATCACACACGCATGTGACACACAGTCCTCCTAGTGGTTTCACACTATTTCACTGATTGACAGGTGGCTATAATGTGCCAAGATACACAGCAATGCATCAACAAAGACAGTAAAGAAGACTGCTAGCCAGTTAACATGGAAGTAAACTGTGCAGGTTTTACTTTTAAGAAAAATCTTTTTTTGCATTGAGGCAGAAAATGCACATGCTCAAGGACACACACAACACTAAATGTAAAAGTAACTTTTGTTTGCTTACAAGAAAAAAACTCCACAGGGCACATTTTTATGACCACAAAATGTTAAGCCTTGGATTTCTATATATGAAAAGTTAATTTTGACCTTTTTTACATGTGCTTTAGTTTTTAGAATATTTTTTTCATCCAAGGCCCCATGACTTTGAATCATTGTTTCCATGACTTTGAAGACACTGTTCTTCAAACAGATTTCCCAGAAGTAAAGCAGTATTGCTTAAAGACTTCACTCATAGCTTCTTAAATCACTTTGTAAAGTATTTTATAGGTAGTGTAGTTTTTTTAACCGTTTCTCCACTGTTGCCTGCCTACATTGTGCCTAGATTTTGCTTGCTCTTCCACTGTCTGTAAAGTCACACTGTACTTTGTCTGAGAGATCTAAGCTGTTTGTGGTTGCATGATCTTAGAGTCATGTGTGTTTTACACAATTGCCTGTCACAGAGTTTGTTTTTTGAGATGCTGTCACTAATTGGCTTGATCAATGTTCCAGTTGTCTTGCTCGGAAAGTGGTTTGTAGAGGGTCTCGGGAGTGAAACGTGTCAGTAATGGGTCAGTGAACTATGGCTGGCTCTTTGTCCTGGTGTCTTTATTTTAACATTATTTATCATGGAGATCAATAAAGACCCAGACTCACAGCTAACATTCATCTTTTGAAGTCTTTATTCTATTTTAAGTGAACCCAAAGTTAAACTAAAGAACAGCTTTAGCTCACTGTTCCATTACCCAGGCAACTGACTTTAAATATGTCTGTGGTCATCACATCTGATCACTTGCTGGGTTAATCTACTTCCTCATCTTCCGTCTGACGTTGCCGCCTCCCTTTTCTCACCTTGTCCTCCGACCCGTCCTCTGCCTTATCTACCTTCTTCTTTCTCCCATCTTTTTCCTCTCTGTCTCCTCCTCTTTCTCTTTCTGGCCCTTCCTCCTCTTCTCAGCCCAGTGTAACTCCATCTACTGTTTCCTTGGTGACCCTGCCCTCTCCGTCGCCGTCCCTCCCCGTTACCGTGCCAACCACGGTCAAGGCTTCCCCTCCCACTCCTCTGCCACTCCCTGTTGGGGTGATGCCTACTATTGTTTCCCCTCCTTCTCCTCCTCCTCCTCCTCCTCCTCCTGTGCCCACACCTGTGCCTCAGCCATTGGCTACCGTGGTGCCAATCATCAGTGTAGTCACCGCCCCGCCTGATACTCCCATGGAAGCCCCTCCCCAGGTACTGGACAGTCAAACCCACCAAGTGGATGTCTTGTCCCTGTTCACTGTGCTCACATTTTCCGCAGTTGAATGCTGCAGGCTGTTGTTTGAAATCACTGTCTTAAGCCTTGGGTTATGAGTTAGGATTTTTCCCATTGTTTTTATGGTCCAAGATATGTGTTCGATTGGGGAGTTTTTCAAACTTTTTTGTGGGATTCTCCGAACTGCACGTCGTCATAAATAGCCCGTTTCAGCTGATGAATGCCACCGGTCCATGAGGAGGTGCACATCATTATCAGCTGTTTGGCTCTGTGTGTGGCAAAGTTTGAATCATAAAAGTCACCCAAGACTAAAAAGACAAATTTGACACTGCAGAGCTGGCTGTCAGAAATCAAATTTAGCAGTTTGTAGAGTGGTATTAAAGGACCTGAAGCTCCATACTGTGACATTAATAAAGAGGGAATGGTTTAACTTGGAATTAGATAAAAGAAAATATTATAGCCTACAATGGGGGATGTTACACTGTCAGTGCAACAGAAGATGGTCCAGGAAAGCAACCTTCATAAAGACAGCTGAGAATTGAAATGTATACGTGTCTGTTCTTAAATATGCCAGTAAAAATCATAGAATCTAAAAAACACTCAGACTGAACAGAATATTAATTGTATATTAGGTTTGTTTTAGTTATACATTTTATTTTGGGTAATATAAGTATCGTATTTGATAACCTTTTATCAAATACCTACCTTTTTTGTTTGTTCATAGTGGTTCTTTCATGAGTAGTTTGGATATCATTTTTAAATGGCAGCCAGATTTGAGATGCACTCTGAACAACTATTGTTACCAGTTTATTAGTTGATTTGATTGATTTTAAATTTGATCCATATTTGCTTATCCATATCCATTCAAATAAATGTTACTGCCTAAGTTCACATTTAAAGTTCATACGTTTTAGTGATAATTAATGATGAATGTGTGGCAATGATAAAGGTTGTAGTCTCATTTTATGATATCCATGATGATGTGCTGATAATATGCTGGTTTACTGTTTATTTACATAGAATAACCAGTCTGGTGTTTCGTGTTGAGCAGTTTCTGTGGCTTGGTTTGAGTGTAGCAACACTGATTTACTTAAAAATTGCAGAATCAAGCAGTAATTGTTGGAAAGACTTCCTTGGTTGTTTGTGTGATGTCACTGAGCCAGTGAACACAGATTTAAAACATCTGTGAAAACTGCAAGACAGTTTCGATTGGTCTTCAAATAAATGATGTCAAATAGAATCCACAGATTGCCTTTTGGTCCACATACAAGAGTCGTCCTTAGTTGAACTCTGCTGTAACTCGGACCATTTCTTTTTAAGTAATCATTTATAGATCTTAATTATTGTACAGGGTTGCATGTGGAGATGAATACACAGTTTCGTTTCTCCTTTTGTGGCAGTTCTTGCTTCGCTCCTTTTGTTTCATGCTCCAGTTTTAGTTGTTCAGTTCTATTCTGATGTGTTCTATCCCTGTCTTTCCTTTTAAATCTAAAATCATGACCTTGCAATCTAGTTAGTTTTCTCTCTTTCTTTTGGTATACTTTGCTTGTATTTCATGCTTTTTCTGTTGTATTTTCTTCCCCTAAATCTCTGGTGTTTAGTGGTGATGGCGATCAAATTGATTGTGTGTGTATGAGCCTTTTCATGTGACTGTGTGTGTGTTTCAGTCTGCTTCTCAGTCTTCAGAGCTGTCCCAGTCCCAACTACAGCCACCTCAAGTTCTCTCATCTATAGAAAGGTAATACATTTACGCACTTACTGAACTGATGTCACATCCCTCAAACAAAAGCAAACTAGTCTTTTTGATGCTGTCTCTCACTTAGCTTCTATTTACCTCTTTTTCTCTTATTAAACGTGCCTGTCTGTACCTCAGTGGCCACTCTGAGACTTCAGGTCTGAGCGATGGCAACGAGGGAGGTGGAGGTCGCCATGAAGGTCGCTCCACCAAGCGACATCAGAGACGTTCTGTGCGAAGTCGATCACGCCACGAGAAGCTCTCCAAGGCGAAACTCAATGTTCTAAATGTAATGGCTCATCCTATAAATCCTATGAAATCATAATTAAACCATAAATCCTCTTTTATACTGTACCACTGTGGGGATGTTTATTGGTTGTTACAGAGTTATGAGCTGCAATAAAAGTAATGAGAAACATCTAATCGAGATAATCATCTGTTTACATTCTGTCTTTCTTTCTAATTGTATTTTTCCTTTCTTTATGTACTTCTATATGTGCTGTGTGTGCATGTTAGATCTCCAATCGAGGAGACAGGGTAGCAGAATGTCAGCTGGAGACCCACAACAGGAAGATGGTGACGTTCAGGTTTGACCTGGATGGAGACAACCCCGAGGAGATTGCCCAGATCATGGTACACACACAGTCTCTCGTTTGATTTTTTTCCCCACAACTTTGATTTGATTCATTTACTCTCTTTCCAACCATTCGTAACTCTCTATAAAGGCTGTAATAGGCTTCACATGCCAGTGCACATGCCATCTACTCTTTGTCTAGCAAAACCACTAATGCACACGTAATTGCTGTGGCTCTTTGTGCTTTCATTGAGAGTGTTGTCACCAGCACAAGGCAAAATTACACCTCTGTGGCCAACACACTGGCATAGGAAGTATAAACCAGTCTGTAGTTTTGTTTCTGTTACACAGACATTTTAATCTGACTTTTTTTCCTTGCGTGTGTGTGTCCAGGTCCAGAGTGAGTTCATCCTGGAGAGTGAGAGGGAGTCGTTCATTGAGCAGGTCAGAGAGGTGATAGAGAACGCTGATGAGAAGGGTCTGGAGAGAGACACAAACAGCCAGGTAAACACAACACCGAGTCTTTATTTCTTTCTCTCTTTTCGTGTTTTGGGAGTTCAAGAGTTGCTGGTGCATAGTTTCAGTTGCTGGTGTTGGGTTTTTGATAGAAAAATACTAAATTAGCTGCTGTTTTTTTTCATGAAATTTCTATTGCTTTTATATAGTGTGTGTGCATATATTGTTGTCTTGTTGATCTGCAGATGGCAGGTGATAAGGAGCAACAGATTCCTGCTATATCTGTCCCCATGCCAGGTAAAAACAACAAAATAAAAAGCCTTAGAATAACAGGCACCTGTTTGAGTGTCCATGGGGCAACAGGGCGGCACAGGCAACTATAAGACCTAGCTCTAGGCGTCTCTGTCAATGAGCACAGCAATGAATTCCTATTAAATTTATAGACAAGACAGAATTTCCACAGAAATATTTCATTTTTTCTCTTTAAAACTTCTATTCTGCATCCCTAATGCTTCCTGTTGCTTATTTTGCAGCTGAACTGTTTAAGAGAATAGTAGTTTGCATGCTATTCTCTCAGAGATTAACAAATAACAATGCTGTGTATTGACATTCATCTCTTCCCAGACATCCCTCCTAGTGCAACAGCACAAGTGGTCCATTCAGCAGGTCGGAGGTTCATTGTCAGCCCCGTACCTGAAGCCAGGCTGAAGGAACAAATGTTTCCTACCTCTCCTTCTCCTGCCCCTGCACCTCCTATTGAAACTGGTAAGGATTGGGTGTGTGTGTGTATGGCCTTTAAAGCTCAGTTGTTTTCGTTCCCAAAACAGTAAGATACAAATCTTTCTTAGCAAGATAAGAAGTTAATGTTAAGAGAATTACACAATTTTGATGAGTATCACATTGAAGAAGAGAAAGAAGTGATCAAATAAATGGCAGATTTTTTCTTCTACTGCAAACACACACAAATGCTCACTAAATGACAGTGTACTTTGCCACGTGCATTGTTATCAGATTAAACTGTAATGCTTTTAGAGGAAATTGCCCAAATGTTCTGTCCAAATTCAATAAGACACTGGCATTTATTAAAATTGATACCAAAGGATCTTCTGGTGGATCACTGGAATATTAATAGCTTTATCTGATCTATATTTAGATACTGTAGAATTTAAACATTATTCCATCCAAATAAATCAAAAATACCTACACAACCTTACCCAGTGTTCTAAAAACTAAAGAAAACCTCAGAAACACCCTGTGAGACAGAAGGAGACTACTTTTAAAGATCAAGATTGATGCAGCAGAACCAGAGACACACACACGTTTGTCTTCCTTCCACACCCCCAGATTTATTTCATTTTTCAAACTTAGTAGTCTGTACAACTCCACATATTCAGTAGTACTCAGCAGGACTTTGATATGTAAAAATAGTTCCCCTTTAACTACAGCACCTCCTCTGAAAGTTACCTTCCCAGATATATGACCTGTTTTAAGTGGGCCAGTTACACCCAATATCAATCTCCAAGTCAGTGAAAACAACAATGAAAAGTATACTGTTAGGTCAAAGACTACAGGATGGACCTCGGGAATTGAAAGTGTTTCTTTTTTTCCCAGTTCCTCCGGCTTCAGCTCAAGCTCCATCTCAGACTCCAGGCCAAGGTATGGTGTTGTCCCAGTCTGCCGGAGCAATCAGCTTACAACAAGCTTTCTCTGAGCTCCGACAGAACCAGAATCAGTTTGATGCAGGACCAAGCACAGCCCCAGCTTCTATCCACTCCACCCATCCTCCTCTGCATCCTGTAGTAGCTTCTGTCCCCTCACAGGCTAGCACAGTCACTCCTACTGTGGATCCTACTGCTGGACTTGTCTCTTCTAATTTAAACCAGGCACAGGATCAGGTCTTGGAGTCCTCTCTTCCCCCTTCTTCTGCCTCCTCCACCCCTTCCTCAATGCCTGCTGTTTGTCTCAGCCCTCCTTGTTCCTCCTCCCCTCCTCCTACTGTGGTGAATCAGTCCATCCTTCAGTCACAGCCGGGGATACAGGCTGTGTCCCAACCCCAGGGCCAAGCACAAATTCAGCCCCAGGCTTTCACACAGCCACAGTCTCAAACTGTTTCTGCTGTTATTGCTACTTCAGTACCTTCAACTTTACCACCGGCCAGCATCCCCCCAGCAATGCTCACCTCCCCTCCTCCCGCCCAGACTGCTCCCCTTGTATCCTCCCCTCCCTCCTCCACTCTTACAGCAAGTGAAGTCTCCTCCGATCGTCCGTCGGCCTCTCCCACCTCCTCCTCCACTACTTCCCTTTCATCCTCTGTAATCCCCACTACTGCCATCCCAGGCCCCCAGCTTGCTCTTGCTGCCACTTCCCATCCCACTTCCCACCCCGCTCCCCCTCCCTCCTCCTCCCCTTCCTCTGCTGTGGGGCTCCAGCCAGTGACCACCAATGTTCCTTTGGTCCAACCAACCTTGGTCCACTCGCAGCCGCAGACAGCAGCCCTGCCCGGGCAGCCGCACACACACTGTGGGGAATGCGATGCAAGGTGAGTGGTGGTAGATATTAAGTCTCTTTACTAGTTTCTTTTACTTATTAGCACTGAATTAGGAAACTTAATTGATATCTTTCTCAGGTGTGAGGAGTCCCAAGGCAAACCGGATGACATCCAAGCCCTGGAGAAGAAGCTGCGGTCACTCTTCATGGATCTCGGTGGAGGGATGACTTCCACACAGGGAGACATCTTAGTTGCTGACCCTGCCTCTGGAGCCACCGTGCCAGGTACCTCTTCCCCAATGGGCCCCTGCTCTACCTCTAGCACATCTGTCACCACACCTGGCTCCAGCCAGCCGGCCATTCCCCCTCAGCCCCCCTCCAGCCTTGCACTGGGGTCACCTGCTCCAATCCAGGGTCCTGGAACGCCTATCTCCACCCCTGCACAGATTGGTAGGTAGATGACTGTGTGTTTATGCATATGTGCTAGCGTGAGTTGACCTGTGTTTTAATAATTTTGCTGACTGACTTTGTGATTTCAGTGTCTTCAGTCGTCCCTGCTTCATCCTTTGGCCAGACCACTCCATCCAAAACTCCCTTATCCAGGGTACCGGTGAGTGATCCAGTTTACCTGTATACAGCAATGCTATTAGATCTAGTTCAACCATTAGTAGTTGAATTACTTATTTGATTAGTGTTTATTTTTTATGTTTTCCTTCTAAAGGTCAAGATGTTAATTTAATCTTTAGTAATGATTGGTGTTCCAAGATGTTTCTACTCACTTTCCTTACATCTCATCTGGCATGGAAATTTCTTTTAACATTCTCCACAATGGGACCACATTCTTATAACCTCCTCTACAAATCTTTTCTCTTTTATTTCTCCCACTCTGTGTCTTCTCATCACCTTTCTGTCCCTGGGATTAGGCCAGTTCTCCTCCTTCAGAACTCCTGCCATCTTTCCCTGGACCTTGTCTAATACAGGTGTTTTTTATTTGCTCATTTTTAGAGTTTCCAATGCAATGCAATACTGTATTCAAACTGAGCTTATAATGCTTATGGTTACGGTTCCATGTCCTATCTGTTGTGCATAACTTGTGCTATTGCTGTGCAAAAAGACATTTAATTTATACTGCATATTAACAGCCAGTAAAGCCATGAATTCATCTCACTTTAACATAAGAAGATTGCATTCTTAACAACAGAATACACATACATACACACATACACATCAGAATAAAGACAGTAGAACTCTTAACAAGAACGTAACATAAAATAGATGCATTCAACTACAAAGAAATGTCTCTACTTTAAATAAAAAATAACGATAGAGGATAAAAGAAAGTAGGATCAGAGAGAAGCTGGTTAAAAGAGAGAGTGAGAGACTGTGAAATTGGACAGAGGTGGCAGGCAGGCAGTCTGAGGACTGGGTACTTCAGGGCAGAGACGACACCTAACTGACTTTAATTTTCAGACTGTTTTGTTGTGGCTGTGAATGCTGCCATGTAAAAATAGACCTCCCACTGAACAGTGACTTGTAGCTCCTTTATGAAAAAGCTGACCTGCTAACATTCACTTCTCGTCCCTTATGTAACTCTCATGGGCGAGACTTGTCCCATTTGATTAAGATAATCCTGCTGTAGTAGAAGCTCTCAAGGGATTTGATTTTAATGATTACTTTTTTAATTGCAGTTAAAATGCTCGAGAGAGTAGAATACCTTATTACATTACCTGTGTTTGTGTGTGTCACAGCACAGGAGATGGGTCTGGGAGGGATAATGCCTTTTGACAGTGCTTTCAGTTTTACCACAAAAAACGTCTTTCTAATTACTACGGTTTTTGAATGAAGCCTTGTAACAAATTGGACCAAGAGATGAGGAACTCTTGTTCTGTGTTCTGTGTTTGCCTGTTCAGTCACAGTTGATTGGATCACGAGATAACAGTGCAAAGCTTTGTGTAGCTACTGGGGCTCGGCAATATGGTTAAAATCTCATCAAAATATTAATAACAATACCAATTAGTTGTGTTTCACAGTTATGCGTTACATGACACCAAACTCTTCATACGATTAAAACAAAACCTTCAATTAGCCAGTTTTGTGATTCTTCTGGCTTGGAATCATTCATTTAGACAACACCAATTTGTAAAATGATAGAATCATATCTTCTAAATGTTTTTCCAAAATAATAGTGAATTATGGTCCAGCCTTAGTAGCCGTACATGCGTGCTTTTGGCTGATCTGCGCTTGTATTGCTAATTAACTTGTGTGTGTGTTTGCTTTTTTGTGTGTGTGTGTGTGTGTGTGTGTGTGTGTGTGTATCTAAACGTGTATCTTATGTTTTTCCAGTCCCAGCAGCCTCTAGAGGACCTGGATGCTCAGTTGAGGAGAGCGCTGAGCCCAGAGACTGTTCCTGTCAGCACACACACACAGGTAAACACGCACATGTTTGGATATTAGTCTGTTAACTTACACTGACATTGTATATACTGTTGTAATTCAATATTAACCCATTATCTTCTCTCTCCGTGTTAACCCCAGGGCTCTCACAGCGGATTACCTTCAGTGGGACAAAGTATGTGTATTATTAAATCTATTAATCTATGCATCTATATCTGTGTTTAATCTGTCTGTTTAATATCTGTTACATCCATCTTTCAGTTCCCTTCTCTCTGGAGGAAGACACTGTGTCCCCCTCTGTTCCTGGAATTAAACTGGGAAGATTTCAGGTAAGATTTCCCTCACACTACAGACCACACACGACTGTCTATGCATTTTTTATTTTTTTTGCCATGTGTCTAAGGGTGACATAATAATTAAAGGCAGTAAAAGGCCATTATAAACGTTTCATTTTGGGATGTGAACTCTTCTTTGTCTGGATATGTTGATTCAAACTTATTACACAATTTTTGAAATGGCGTATCATGGAAAAACTAGAGGAAATACAAGGAATGGAATTTTAATTAGGAAGAAAACCTGTTGAATAGCTAAGTATTGCTGTATGTCTCTATCGTCCCCTTTCTCTTACTCTTCTCACTCATTAGGTCTCGTTGGCTACTGAGGAGCCTCCTGTCAAACGCCCGGCCTGCACTGAATCTTCCTCCACCACCTCCTCCTCCTCATCTTCTTCGTCCTCGTCGTCCTCCAGTCTCTCCAGCCCGGAGAATACGCTGCACAAGGACGCCTTGTCTCCTCTGAAAGGGGGAGGAGGAGATGTTGTAGACGGACTCCCACAAAGGACCCCCTTCACTTTACCCTGCCCCTCTCCTAAGCCCACCACTACCATCGGACGCTTCCAGGTATTTCCTGTTTTTGTATCTTGTAGTGAAATGAGTGAGGGGCTTCTTTGCTACAGGTACCACACAAACTGAAAAACAACCAGTGCTTTCACATTCTTTGTCCCACTTTGTCCCACTCATTATTTAATTCAATATTTTATTCTTTTATTTCAGGTTACCACCAACCCGGAGGCCCGTGTGGGTAGATTCTGTGTGAGTCGTGCCCAGGAGCAGAGCCTTGAGTCCAGGCAGACCCCTCCGCCCGCTGCACAGGCTGCTAACGGACCCAGTGATCCTGGGCAGATTTTGAGTCCGGATTCCACTCATAAAGCCTCGCTGCCGAGTCTAAACAACAACTCCTTCAATAACTCCTACATCAGCAGTGACAACGACTCAGAATTTGAGGATGAAGACTTCAAACGGGAAGTCAGCCGCCTTAGAGAAAAGCAAGTTATCCTTTCCTCTCTTCTCAGAAATTTTAGAGAAAAGAAAGTTCTGTTGCCCTATCAACACTTCTGTTAGTGAGGTTAACTGCTCTGAAGTAAACCAGATTTTGCTCTCGTCTTTCTCCTCCCTCTGTGCCCCCAAAAATAGAAGGCTGTGCTCTGCTTCTCTTTTCTCTTCCTTTTCCTCTTTCCTCACCCTCAAGAATGAGGTCAAGAACTCACTTTACTCATTACTTCTTTCTCTTCTTCTTTTCTTGAAAAGAGATGTTAAGCACTTCACAGAACATTAGGCCCTCCCCCTCTCTTCTTGCTTCCTCACCCTCATTGTTACTTTCTTTCTTAAGCCTGTTCCTCATATTTTTTCATTCATTCCTTCCTTCTACCACCAGGCACATGCGTGAGATTCAGGCCCTCCATTCCCGCCAGAAGGAGGAAATAGACTGTCTCTTTACCAAGCTGGGAAAGGTAACTCACCTTGGTTACATCAGTGCAGACATTAGAAACATCCCATCACATACAGTATGTAGCAAGCAACCGTTCTTTCCTTTGGCCACGGTGTAGGTTCCTCCAGCCACAGTGCTCCCTCCAGTTATAGCCTTGACTGGCAGGAGGAGACGACCTACCAAAAGCAAATCCTCCAAATCGTCCAGAACCAGCTCTACGCATGGCAGCAAGAGTCCGTTACAGCCAGGTAGGCTCTTGTTTAAACATTTATATTAAAGAGTTGGTTCAACCCAAATTCCAAAGAAACATCGTTTCTTACTTACCTTTAGTGGTAACTACCCATGCAATGGTTGGTTTGATTCATCCAGGTTTTTATATATCTATCTGTAAGATT